ACAAACATTTCCCAGAAGTAAAAGTAAGTAAAACAGATCCTATGCCCTTGATTGGTTCAGTTGCAACATTTCCCATCTTCACAATAGATCCATCTTCAATTGGTTGAAAGTCCTTGAACCAATATAGATCTTTGCAAACATGACTTGTTGCTCACGAATCAACCCACCATGCAACATTATCATCCTGCACATAAAATGCTTCAGAAATCACATAAATATAATTCTAGATATATTTAGAATTCTACATGAAAACAGAAATCTGACCTTGTTGCTTTTCTGAATCCTTGGATCCACTTGGTCCAGCACCATCCTTGTTCACTTTGCGAAGACGACAATCTTTCTTGAAGTGACCCGGTTTGTTACAATTCCAACAAACCAACTTAGCCTTCTTGTTGGAAGACTCGTCATCCTTTCCTTTAAACTTCTTTTTTTTCATTAGAATTCTTGGGATTCTTTGAACTTTTCTCCTTCCACCATGTTCACAGAAGAGGAACCAACTTGGTTCTTTCCTTTAGGATTGTTGTCAAGTTCTTGAGTCCTTATGGACTCTTCAATCCTTAAATGGCTTCCAAGTTGAGTCAAAATTAATTCCTATTTGTTATGTTTCATATTGTGTTTAAAATCCTTCCAGGAAGGGGGCAGTTTGTCAATGATCACAGCCACAAAAATGGCTTCATCCATTTTCAAATTGTGTTGAGCAAACTGTCCCAGAATCTAGGCTTGGCAATGGAGCAGGTTTTGACCCTGATCCGCTCCAAACCCTAAACAATTATACGGGTTTGGAGCATAGTTTTTGATCCGTTTACCCGTTAACGACCCATACCCGCTAACCCTTTTATTAAAAGGATCGAGTATGGATCATCACCGATCCGCTCCATTTATAACCCGCTCCATATAAATTTTAGAATCATACATTTATAGTTTATACTGCCTAAAGTTTACTTTAAATTCCAATCGAAAGTCCATAGAGAAAAGGCCAAAAACTAAACTGTTTTTACATAGGAATCGAGGACTCAACTTCTAGACTTCCAGTATTCTCCCAAGAATTATGATGTCATTTCATTTATATTTCATCATGTAATCACCAATTTCATTTATAAATCAATAAATTTATTTATCAACCGGAAGAAAGTTTGTAATTCATATTCTCTATCAATGCAATCGACGATCAAAAACCAATCGGAAGTTACTACGATGATGATTTTAATTCCAATCGAAAGTCTATGAGTACATAATGTGTTTTGTCAATCAACATTTGTTTTATTTAATAAATGTGATTTTATGATTTAAGTAAAATGTGTTTGATTATTCAAAAAACCTACGGGTTACGGGGCGGGTTTGGATATCTGCTGATTCGGTGGATAAGGGTATGGGTTTGATTATTCAAAACCCTGCGGGTTACGGAGCGGGTTTGGATCGGATTTTGGAATTTGTTAAAAGGGTTTGGATCAAGGTCGATTCGCTCCAAACCCGCCCCATTGCCAGGTCTACCAGAATCCTTAACATTTCATGGAATTGTTCCATAACAGGCCTGGAGTCAATCATCTTGTAACCCATAAAGTTACTAACAAGAAACTTCTTACTAGAAGCATCTTCAGCCATGTACTTGGATTCAAGAGAATCCCACAGTTCTTTTGCAGATTTGAAATTTTGATAGATATCAAAAAGAGAGTCAGACATACCATTGAGAATATGACCACGACATATGTAATCATCATTTTCCCACTTTGAACTTCTTCTTGTTGCCTCCAAAGGTTCATCTTCAACAGATTCTGGTAAGACTGGCATGGGTGTACTCAGAACATACACCACTTTTAGAGTGGTAAGGAGAAACTTCATCTTCTTCTTCCATCTACGAAAATCTTGCCCTTCAAACTTGTTCAGTTTTTCAAACTTACTTGTCATTTCCTTCATAGAATCACCACTTGCCATGATCACAAAAATGCTTTAATCTTTGTTAGAAAAATGGGGTATAGAAAGGCTTGGAATTCTGAGAATTGTGTTAAACACTTTCAGATTAAAGCATTTGGGTGGTACTCCCAATATTCTTTAATCGGATAAGACTTAGAGAGACAAGAACTTAGAATGTTTTGAAGATAGTTTCGTATTTTTTCAGAAATGAGACCAAAACCGACTTTATGATCTTTGTCTAAAAATTGTCATATAACAGTTTCAAACTGTCATAAAACTATAAAAATTGTCATAAAAACGGAAGTTTGGACAAGGGTCAAACAATGGTCAATTCTCTGAAAGTCCGATTTTCTGATGCATTTTTAATATAGTAACACACCCTATATAAACAAGTTTGGACAAGGGTCAAACAATGGACCCCAGCCAGGGGCTCTGCCCCTTGGACCCCGCCAGGGGCTGCCGCCCCTTAGACCCCGCTCCCAGGGGCGCTGCCCCGAACCCCCGTTCTTTATGGGCTTCGCCCCTAAATGACAATGTACTTTGAAACTTGATCAAACTTAAACAAGTGTGTACTCCACACCTTCCTTACTTGTTTAATATTTATCACGATCTCTTTTGGTCAAGAAAGTAATCCCATTACACTTGAATAATATTGATGATAAGAAATCACCAACAAGGGATGCTCGGGTTTTCTTTGATGATAACTCTTTGCCTTTTATTACCGACACACAATTTGGAATACTTTGATTCCCATCAAGGTGAACATTTTTCGTTGGCAGGTTCTCTTGAATCGACTTCCCACTAAGGATAATCTAGTAAGTCGTGGTCTCAATGTCTCATGCTCTTTATTTTTGATTTGCAACACTAAGTTGGAAGCTTTGAATCATGGTCTTCTTTAGTGAGAAGTTGATATCCATATTACGGTGAAGATAGGTAAATGGTGTAGTTTGGATTTGTCTACTATTACTTATTACTTTGCTTGGTGATTTCTTGGCTTTGCCAAACTCTTTGTCGTTTTCTTTAGTCTGTAATCGAGTTCTTGATGCTACTGTGGCAACAATGTAGTGGTCCCTATGAAATTTCAGGAACAAATTTATGTTTGATAGTATGCGACCTAGAAAGGATATTGTTTTTAATGATATCGTTGTCATTATTTATTGGTGGGTGGTGCATAGAAAGCATAAGTTTCATATTACTTTATATGCTTTGCTGTAGAACCTCATTTTGATGTAATTATTTTATTTTTAGCTCTAGGTCCTTGCTAGTAACTTTTTTTTTGCATGTTCCAGAAAAAAGAAGATCAAATAATAATGAGTCCAATGATGCAATAAATGACATATTTGGTATCAAAATTTTAAACTATGATTAAAATGTTAAAAGTTCTCTATCTAAGATTGTACAATGGAAATCAAAAATCTTCCTGCGATTTACATTAAAAAAAGATAAAACCAAAAATTAATTAAAATTGGGAAAAAATGTCTACTTGACCCCAAAAAGTTGGAAATTAAACTGGAGAATTGGACTAAAACTAGTCACCAAACAACAAGCTCAACAGGCTTATCTATACGAGTTGCAACTCTTCCTAAATCTACTTGGGTCTGGTGACATAACAACCTGGGCTTCATGAGTCCGGTGGGCCAGTCCAAATGTTGATAAATAGACGCTTAAATAAGCGAGCACCAACTTTGGACAACAAGAGTTTTTGGTTACTATTTGATGAGATCAGGGCCGGTCCTAAGAATTCAAATGCCCAGGAAGAGTAAAAAAAAGGCCCTTAAGTCCTAACATGTAACGAATATATATATATATATATATATATATATATATATATATATATATATATATATATATATATATAGGTAAGTTATATTGAGAACACATAAAAGGTTGAGAACGCGAGAACAGTCCATTTTTGTTAATTTTTCAAAATTATGTCCTTAAAGTGTAAAAGGTTAAAATACGTTTATTCCCTTAATTCATGCAATATTAAATTAGGGTATTTCTTATTTATGCAATATTAAATTAGGGTATATGTTACTTTTAATTAGACTGATAACACATATCCCAATTAATCGTACCTACCTTCTTCATCCCCAAAATATCTGTCTTACCTCCTTCATCCGAGTTACAGTACAGTTTCAAGTTTTGGTTTTTTTTGATTCTCCGATGATTTGCAAGAATCTTTAAGCTGGAATTGGGGGATCCATCTACATCAGTTTACTTCACATTACCTATCAATAATCCCATGTTTTTTGAGATTCGATGATACGCGACGCGATGTGAAGCTTGAACATTGGGATTCTTCAAGATTACTTGCGTATTGTCGTTGAAGATTGTCGATATAAAAGTTTATGGAGGTCGAATTTGAAGGAGTGTATGCAGTCGGGAATCGCACAAGAGGTAAGTTCCTTTCACGTTCAATGTTTACATTTTTTTTTAATCATGTAGCTCGATTTTGTATACTTTGTATACAATTTTTTATATGAGTTTGCAATGTATGCTTTTGATTTGGTCAAACGGTTCATGGAAGATTTATGACCTATTTTCTCCTCTATATGTTCACTGTTAGTTTTTTTTTAATCAAATTATTCGATTTGCAAAAGCATGAATGATGTTACTGGCATGAAATTGTTGTTAAATTCAACTACAACTCATCAATTCAGATGAGTTTAGAATGCAGATGGTTTGATTAGGTAAATATTGCCACGGGTCTTATTAGCCCTTATCCCACACTTATGTGTTACCTGCTAAAGTGCTTGAATTATATTGATTAACCATAGATTCCATTTACATGTACATTATTTATGTTTTATTAAAATGTTTCAATTTGCATTATGTTAATTTGTGTAGTTAACAGTAAGATTAGCCTTATGTCTTTGTTATCATGTATGCTATTATTTGCCCTAATATCATGCTTATGTGTTACATGTTAAATCGTTTGCCCTGCATTTATTCACCCTAGATTCCATATAAATCTATGTTATTTCTGTTTTATTCATATGTGTCAATTTGCATTATGTTTGTTGGGGTAGTTAACAGTAAGATTAGACTTATAACTTTGTTATCATGTATGAACTACAATAGGACGCATGAAGAGTGAGCGTATCAAAAACACATACTCACTAATGAAATACAAGAATGATCCCTCAAACCCAATAATAATAGATATCGATGTAGATGCATCTGATTCTATCAGGATTACCCCCATACCAACCATTGCTAAAGCTGGAGTTATGACTCAAAGGTCAAAATCCAAACCTGTTTCAACTGTCAAACCAATTCACAAAGAAGGTATATTTTTTTTGAATTAGTTATCACACTAAAAAGCGTATTCTTCATGTTTTTTGATTATGCCTCACTATCAATACAAGGTCAACATTCCGGACATAGTGTTTCTGTTGAAGTGCTTCATGAAAATCGTTCAAAGCAGAAATTTGATCCAGATTCCAATCCCCATTCACATGTGCATGGTTATACAAAATCAGGTAGCTCATTAACTCTGTCTTTTTTAAATTGCTAGTATAATTCAATCATCTTATTTACTGTTGTTTGACTGTTGTATTGTATTTTCCACCAAAAAATACACAGATATTAGAAAAATGTTGTTTACGTCTAAAGAGAAACAGCAGCCATCACATGATGAATCAGATTTTGAAGACCCAAACCCATTCATCAGCCAAAATAAGAGGAAATCACCTCCACTTGTAACAACCAAAGTTGTGCAACATCAGGAAAAGAAAGCTAGAGCAGATGTGGCCAACCTTCAAGCAATTAAGGCAAAAGTTAAAGTCAAGAAACTAGAGAACAGAAAATCAAAGAAGGGAGTTCATGTGGGTATTCCAACACAACCAAGGCGAATACATATTCGTACGTCACCAAAAATATTATTCTCCACAATGCACGGTCTGACGAATGGACAGAAGGAGTATTTATCATCCATTGGATTTGGTCCCCTTTTAAATATAAAAGTAGATGGGTCGGCATCACGAATTGGGTACTACGCGGTCAACAACTTTGACCCTGAACGTATGGTACTGAATGTCGAGCGGGGTGAGATACCAATCACTAGGCAACTGATACATGACATGTTGGGTCTCCCTCTGGGAAATATCAATATCAATTCACTAAAGTTCAGACCCGCTGAAGACAAAACTGTTGATTTGTGGTCTGCACAGTTCAAGTCAGAAAATGATATTAGGCCCAAAGGCGTACAAAGGGCGATTAAGAGATTAAAAGATGTTGGGTTATTGTTTAAAGTCAATTTTTTGGTTCTCATTTGTAACACCCTTGGACAATCCAAGAGCATGGGCACATGTGATGTATCAATGCTTTCAAGGGTTTCAGAGGATTTAGACTTAAGCGACATAGATTGGTGTTCATACGTGTTAGAGTGTTTGAAAAATACAAAACATGCATGGAATTCTACGAGCGATACATCTTACTATGTTGGCCCTATTTTCCTATTGACGGTTCCTATCCTACAACCTAACTTACTACATTAATTCTATTGTCTTAGTCATCTATGATTACAATATTACATCCTTAATGACTTATTCACTACTCCTTGATCACTAACGATTTACTCATCTTTTTTTTAAACATATAAGCTTATATATCTGGAGCATGTTTCATGTGATGCGGTTACGATTGATCGTGGAAGACCTGCTATATGTTTCTGGGATGTGGAAACCATGCGCTTACGTGAGGAGTATGAAATCAGAAATGGTGGAATTGGTTCTGGTGAACTTCAGGATCCTTACATACCACACGATGACAATGCCGAAAATGTCAACTCGGCGAATGGATCAGTTGAGGTTAGAAAATTTCCGCATCATTTTTTCATATTTACCACATATTACTAAAAACTCATAATGTTTTCAGGAATACCTTTCCACCATTGAAAGTATGTTCAACAAGCTAGTTGAGGATAATCATTTGTTGCACTCAAAACTTGTAGACGCAATCGAAAGGCATTCTCTGGTTTGTGATTTCTACGAATGGCAAGCCAAGATCAGAATTTTCCTTAATGAAGAATCCATGAAATATGGAAGTGGCAGTTCTACTCATGCAGACAGTGTCGGACCTTTATCCCAATGGTGGTCAGACAACGCAGAACAAATAAACAGGTCCTGTCAATTTGCAGAAAATTCTGTTAAATCGTTCCACAACTCACCCTTTCCAAACTGGAGCATCGGGATGACACAGGAGTTTGCTGATATCATTAGCAATTCACCACTGAAAGATATCATGAAAACTCCAAAAGACCAATGTCCAAGTCCTCTTCCATTATCAATTGTTCCTATTCACAGTGATTACGGTGTTGTCCGCGCAAGAGAGTTAAGGCCAAGAAATAAGCCCCCTAAATTACGTTCCCCGTTCATTGTACGACCAGTTGACATAACTAAACGTATATCACGTGCTCAGAAGGACCTATCTGAATGGGTTTTCTCAACACAAGGTCATCTAAGGTATATACAAATTTATACATTACTGATAGATCAAAAAAAAAATTTACAAAGATTATCTAAGTTTTCACATGTTATTCTATGCAGTGACGAACTTTTCTGGACTTGTGCTGGTGTAGCTGCTGAACGCTTTCACATGGAAAGCTTCTTCCCCAAATGTGAACTTTTTGGACACGTACTAGATTGCTGGAGCCATCTGTTAAATTTTGATGAAGACTTGCGTTCCAATATATCTCCTCGCGGGACTATTCGCCACTACCACGTTGACGGTACAATATTAATAATCATTAGCATTCACTAACAATGTCATAATATAATCTTCTAAGTTTTGCACATACATGACTTCCACATTCTCACAATACACCTTCAATTCCATCTTCATATTACACTACTCACAAACATTGTTAACTACCCCTGTAATTACATCATTTATCTTCTTCACAGAGTTTGTATCTCGAAAATACTGTGTTGACAGAGGAAGATCGTTTGAAAATTTTTTATGAAAATTTGAGCCTATCCATTGACGATTTTGATGCAACACTCCGCGATGTGCAATTAGTATGCTTCTATACCCATTTTTCATATAAGCAGATTGTTTTTTATAATTTATTGGATCTTGATGTAAGCTTTAGTGAGTGCATTCACAATACCAACACTAAATTATTTTAAATCATATTCTTGGTATTTGTTTCAGCTATTCCTGCCAGTCGTCCGTGATTTTCATATTTTCCTTGTCGTACTCGACTTTCAACAACCAGCCTTTTGGATCATTGACAACATCAAAAGAGATGACGACACCCAACACACATATGGTCTTCTACCAGATATCATTGTAATATACTAATACAGATTGACATTTTTTTATATATAAATCAATTTGTTTTAACATATAATCCTATATCATTTCCAGCATTCATACATGACTCAATACTTGCGGTCTGTTCACCATCCAAACGCTGAAGCATTTTCACATGTCCCAAGACAAATCCCCCAACTAACTTGGTCAACAGTAAACAATACCACTGACTGTGGTATTTTTACTATGCGTCACATGGAGACGTTCATGGGTGGAAACATTAGAGATTTCAAAACTGGATTCAAGTCAGAGTCGCTTGCACAGGACAACCAATTATCTAGACTACGGGTCATCTATCTTTGCAAAATATTCAGACTACAACCTGCTGAAGGATTCAATCCTTCATCAGGTAGCAGAATTCCAAAAGCTGACTGCATCTAATCGAAATCAACTATTGAAGGATGCTGCAACCAGGATACATGCCAGGCTGACCGAATTTGGTTAAAGAATGTTGGGTTAATAAGACTTTTTTGTTTACCTTCTGGGAAGAATAATATGCTATTTACTTTTACTCTATTATGTAGATGGCTCAATGCAGCAAACCTGTCACTATTTTGTTTTTTGATTATGTACCTCCCTTTTGTCTTCATATTATATTAAAATGTCGTTTCTAAATCTTACATGAATGTCTCTTGTGGTTATTGTTAATCGAAACTGTTAAGTTTTACCCTTTATAGCTGGCTTCTATATTACATACCCAATTTGTTTCGACATGTTACTCGAAACTGATATCTTAATGTTTCAGATTTTGACATCACATGATACACATGTGGTATTAATTTATGTAATTTTATTTAATTACTAACAACCCCACTTAATTTTGTAATAATCAATCATAAATGATGTGCCTACCCAATTTACACATCAATACACATGTACCCTGCATAGCGTTTTTCTTTTTCATTTTACTCCAATAAACCATACAGACCTCCACCATTCTACAAACTAACATACAAAAACGAAACAAATCTTACAAGCATCAAAACATATGATCATACATGATAGACGTACATAATCAACACACCCATCACCATCTACGTTAATACCATGGCTGTATACAATCGACACAAACATCATCATCATACTATCTCGAATACATTGCATCAAAAAAATTTCTGATACAAAAAACAAAATCAACAAACAAAACAAAATGATGTTATTCAATTTAAAAAAACCCAAATGCAGATGTGCAAACATAAGTCAACAAATTATTAATGATAAACAAAACCATCAGTAAACTAACAATTATTCTAACTACAATTGGATTTATCACGCGTAATTCTTACTTTGCAAGTCCTCCAATTATGATTCACATATAAGTTGCATCCTGTGCACTTTCGTGAACCACTTTTTGAAGATGCAGCTGCCCTCTCCGCTGCACTAACCATCCGTTTCTTAGTCCCACTCCCTTTATTATGTATCACTGGTGGGATATTAACTTCAATTTGTTCTGGAATACTAACCCCAAATAGCCTAAACACAACTTCATCACTATCATCAAACGCAATAGTATTAACCGGATCTTGCTCAAACACCCTCCTCATCGCACGAGTTGTCTTCACAAAATCTTCTAATTTTTCCTTATCATTCTGAAGACGCTCCAGACAGTACTCCATGTTACTATATGCTTCGGTTAACAATTTAAAAGTTTCATCTTCCATTTCAGCAATCCCATTCTTACTGACCAACAAATGGCTAGAAATAATATCCCTTTTCCACCTCCGTAGAATATATTGCTCGGGTATCTCCTCAATGTGATTATTCTTCAGAACTGCAAACACATGTCGACACAAAATACCCATTCGCTTGAAGAGTTCGCATGTACAATTTATTTCCTTTTCTGGCAACTTCAGTTCCACCTACATCAAAATTTTAATTCATACTTTAGACACATTTTTTTAAAAAAACATATTTATTTGTTTGGATTCGTATAAACATTACTGATGCTTTTACAATCATTTGAATTTTAGGAACTAACCTTACACTTTGTTTTCACTTGTCTTCTTTTGTCCAAATGTGTAATCATTACTACCTGCCACCCGTTCATATTTTCTACACTATCAATTGAACAATTCCATGCTCCTTTGTATATCTCCTTTCGAACTTCTGCAAAAACTGTATTTGTATACACTTTTGCTGCATGTTGCTCTAATCCTGTGCCCATCCCAAATTTATGCCTGGTTCTCTTAGTTTCATTATCAAGACGACGTTGCGTGTTACGTTGTTTTCCAATCGCCGTGTCATAGTTCACCATGAAATACAAAAGGAAATTCCCATGATGCGAGTACTTATTAAAGAATGAATTCGCACTTTCAGACCTGGAAGTTGTTTTCATCAGTCCATGCATTGGCATGTCCTTAAAATAAGCAGGTATCCATGAAGTCCGCCTACGATACATGTCTTTAAACCATCGTTTATCTTGCAGATTGTGATCCTTCATCAATGACTTCCACGATGTTTCAAACTCAATGGGATCCATATATATATTCCATACTAGTTTGTTGAAGCGTTTTCTGAAATCCGTGTTTTTCAAAACATCCCCACTAACCTGATACACATCCATTTTAAACTTCAAATTACACATATATTTTAACAAATAAATGTACTTTCATCAACAAAATTCAAATCTCATTACATATTCACCTGATGTAATTCAAATAACCAATCAACTTACCTTCGCCTATAGTTTTTTCGTTATATGCCATAAACATAGTCTATGCTTTGCGTTTGGGAATACAGCCTCAACTGCCTGCAGAATCGCTGGATCCTGGTCTGTTAACACCAATGTTGGTTCTTTTCCATGAGCTTTTAAAAAAGCTTTAAGCAACCAACAATAAGACTCTATTTTCTCATTACTAAGTAGGCCAGCACCAACAGTAACAGATCTTTTGTGATTATCAATAGCTGTAAAAGGGACAAATACCATTCCATACCTAAATAATAATATTTGTCATCATTAATGACATCGTACAAACAAATTAATCCAGAATACACATCAACCAAAATAAAACGCAGCATAACACTTACTTATTTGTTCGAAAGGTAGCGTCAAAAGATATCACATCTCCAAACTCCTTGTAGAATACCTTATCTGTTTCATCAGCCCAGAACATAGCATTTAACACGCTATCGACACATTTATACTCAAAGGAATAATCTGGATAAAATGTTTTCCTCTCATTCATTTTATTCACTACCAATTGCGCATCCTTGTTGCCTATAATGTTACCCAATTTTTTCCTAAAATTTTTGTAATCACTCTCTTCGGGACCAACACACTCATATCCACCTTTTAACGCAGCACGAAGTTTATGCGCCTTTGTTGCACCCACGTTTGCTGTTGCTGCGCGTATAATAAACTCCTTGTCTGCATAATTTAATTTCCTAGCTTTTTTTGAATGTCTGCGCTCTTCTGTGGTATAAAGAGGGTGGTTGTGCAGCTCTTGAAACTCTCTAATTTGAAACTCACTTGTTCCAACACTAACACGTTCAAACTTTATCAATGCTCTACAATCCGTTACAATAAAGTTTGAATTCCTATGTTTCCTTCCACCATTATTTGTATCCATTGTATCCACGCTTCTATCTGGTATTTTCCCAGCGCGATTGCAAACAACATACTTTATCTTTATTGATTTGTCATGCCGAAACCTTGTAGTTGTGTTCAACCGAACATCAAACCCAGCATGTTCTGCATATTTTCTATACATATTGATTGCATGTGTTAGTGATTCGAATGTAACCTCATCATTACGTATAAATTCTTTCGCGACACTAGGTTTCCACAGCTTATTAGATCCACCAGGTGAATATAGAATGCTATGGTTGACACTTTCATTTTCATCAGATTCCGTACCTGATCCAAACAGTTTCAAATAACTTATATTTATAAAAAATAATACTTTTTTTAAACACTAACCAGATTTCACTACCATCACAATCATCAAGACTTTGACCTGATTCATTGTCACTCGCATTTTCATCATATGTATCTTCGTAGCCACCTTCAACTTCTTGTGTAGCGTTATCTGTTCCACCACAACAAATATATCAAATATTGACCTTATAACACTACCATTTTGTTATATTATTTATTAAACATTAACAACCACTGTTGAATATCAAATTCCATGACATAAAAAAGCTGTGTTGCATAATAAATAGTTGCAAACATTAATGATGGTCTCAACATATATTCTTCAATGATTTCAATACAAGTACAAATACACAACAAATGGAATTCAATTCAATTAAATTATATATTGAAACACTAACACTTATAGATACCCCAGTACAATCACAAATACGTTAAATCATTTGTGACTGCAACCATATTCAACAATGTTTCAACATAATCCCACAGAATTCCATAAACAACAATTGTGTTCAATGATGATTGAAACAATAACATTTATAAATTCCCCCTCTTCCATCCCAAATACAATAAATCATTTATGATTTCACAGCTATTCATAACTGTTTCAACCTAAAACCACATACCCCCTTAAAATAAGCAATGATTCACATATAACCACGAATATGCAACCTAATGGAATAAAAAGTCTAAAATTGAAATAAACATAACTGTTTTGCCTGATAAACAAGACTATGCAACATATTTGAATAGGATTGTACCCACAAATGATTTAATGTAGTTGTGATGGAAAAGGGGTATCTACAAAAGATGTTGTTTCATTCATGATTAAAAACAATTGATTTGATTTGAACTCAATTTGTGTATATCTGAGGTTGCATTGAGATCATTGAATAATTCAATTTTGATTACAACTACATTAAATCATTTGTGACTACAACAAGATTTATAGATACCCACAATTCCATAACAAATATATTAAATCATTAGTGATTACACACCTATTCAAATATGTTTCAACATAAAACAACATAATTCCATAACTCAAGCAATGATTCATATATAATCAAGATTACACAAATTAATGGAATAACAAGTACATACTTGTCACTGGTAAATTATATATGTACGTACAACACCTTATAATCATCATTGAATAAGGGTCTAAGTGTTAATCAACCTATTCAGCTATGATTATCATATTACAGCATCTAATTCCAATACAACATCTAACTCAATCGCTACTGCTTTTACTGGTAATATACATATACTTCACATCTGTATAATTCATCAGCATAAATCAATTCCATCGAATTGAACAGCTCTATTTCGTTTTAGCAGAAACTAACAGTCCTTTTTCGTTTCACTATATGATTACATTCAAATACTAATTTCTGAAATCAAGCACACGTACCTTCACCTTCATCAACAATATCGATAAGTGAATTGAAGTAACTTTCATCGCCATAACAATCCCCACATCTGGTGTGCTTCATCGCAGCCGAAT